AGAACCACTGTTCTATAGTTTTAGCTCCACTATAGGGCTGTTACTATTTTTAAAACTGTATCAATAACTTTTGTGAAGTAATCATTAAAGGAGAAGGATTCAAATAAAGACTGCCCCTCAGTTGCTAATAATGTTGGAATTCAGCCTAGAAAGATTTCACAAGACAATTTTGTTAGAATTCATACCATCTAAAATGTTAGGTGCCATCAAGTTGGTTCAGATCATGGTGACCCGGTGTCCAAGAAAACAGAAGACTGCCGGCCCTATGCCTTCCTCACCATCTGCTGTCTGAACCTATGGTTACAACAGCCACTGCATCAATCAATCTTATTGAGGGTCTTCTTGTTCACGCGCCCTCTCTACCCAGCATCTTGTCCTTCTCTGGGGTCTGGACACTCCTGATGACATGTCCAAAACCTATAAGTCTCACCATCCTGGCTGCTAAGGAGCCTCTTGGCTATACTTCTTCCAACACCCATTGGTTCATCCTTCTGACAGTCTTAAGTCCATGCCATATTGAATATTCTTCATTAATTCAAAGTCACCTCAACTCCATTCACAGATTATTCCATGGTTAAGCTGGATACTTGACACAACTGGAGAGTCTGTACAGGCTGGAACTAGAGGAGGTGGCATGGGGGTGACATCATGGGTGACTGCACTGGGTGATACCCACCCTAGTGCCTTCAGTCATGCTCCCTCTGTTAAAACACCAGACATATAACACAATTTAAGACTTAGCTTGTTAAAAATCCAAAATCTAACAACCCCCTTCCCTAGCAGGTAAAATTCCTTTGAAGCTCAATCAGTAAGTGTTTGAACTCAGGAAGGAGGTAAGGTTCACATGGTAAAGTAAGTAGCCAGGCCAAAGGGTACCCTATGCAAAAGCTAGGATGGTGGTCTGGTAAGGTCAGGCAGGCAAGCATCCCTACCCCATGTAGTTCAAAAGGGCACCGGAGGCTTCAGGGGGATGGTGTCCTAATAACTCCTGGGAAATATCCATATATATAGATCAGTGGTTCTCAACCTTCCTAATGCCATGACCCTTTCATACAGTTCCTCATGCGGTGGTGACCCCCCACCATATCATTTTCATTGTTATTTCATCACTGTAATGTTAGTTACTATTATGAATTCTAATGTAAACAGCTGATATGCAGGATGTATTTTCATTGTTACAAATTGAACATAATTAGAACATAGTGATTAATCACAAAAACAGTGAAAATCACAAAATAAAAAAACCACAAAAAATTATATATTGTGAAATATGTCTAATTACAAATAAATGAAATTTTGTCTTGAAGCATGGTGTAGCATGCATCTTCACACCGGGTACTCTTATGTGGGTGTATCTGCATGTGGGTGGACCCGCTTGGATAGAGGAGCCCTGTCTCAGTTCCTAAGACCATGTTTTTTCCGATGGTCTTAGGCGACCCTTGAAAGGGTCTTCGACCCCCAAAGGGATCTCGACCCACAGGTTGAGAACCACTGGTATCGATAATCTCCTATGATCTTTGTACAACCTGGGCACATTGTTGAGAGTATCAAATGTATCCCATAATCCTTGCAAAACCGGTTCATCACATCCTGGGGATCATTGTCAAACCTGTCTTCTTGTCCCATGCAGTATGGAACTTGCTTGCTTGTCCCTGAATCTTGGATGCAGCTTGGGGGTAGCAAGCCAGCCCCAGGGTTTCCTTCTGTCTCTGGTTTCAGAGTAAGCTTGGAATTTTGAGTTTCTCAGATCCACCCGCAGTCTTTGGCTGAGAGAGTGACAGGCATTCCTGACCTTTGTTTCCAGGCAACACCTTTACCAGCGCTGAGGGCTGAGGACACAATTCCAGGGCCTTAGGCAGTGATGATGCAAACCCCATACTCTCTGCTCATTCTCTCCCCAGGGCCTGGGAAGAGCCCTGGTTCCTTCCATGACCTGCAGGCCTGGAGTCATCTGGGGTAGCCTGGTCCCCTATAATCCCTGTGATTCATCCAACGCGTGTGTGGGGGGGTGTGCAAAGGCTTTCCCCAGGAAGTCTAAGCCCCCACCAGGTCAGAAGCCCATTCATCTGGTTTATAAGCAGTGCTTTGCGTTATTATTAATATTTCATTGCGTTATTATTAATATTTGTCTGCCCAGCTGTGGTGTCTCAGCAAAGACCAGGCCACCCAGTGCTCTGAGCCTTCTCTCCCCTAAAGGCCCCCATTCCTAGGCCCCACACATTACCCAGCACATCACTCTGTATAGCTCACTTCTCCCAACCACTCCTTTTCCAGGCGGGGCATCTCCAGGACACGTGACAGGAACTGGACCTGGGTCGGGTTGCTGGTACTGGGGGCTAGGGTGGGAGTGAATGGGGCTCCCCGCTGCAGGCCGACTCTGGAAAGTCCTAAACACTCCACCCAAGTGGTTCCCTCCATCCCATCCCGAGAAAGCCCATTGGCATGGAGAATTGATCATGGGGCCTATTTTGTCGTTTTACTGCGTACTCTCCCGTTCCCCCAGAGACACGCCACCGGGGCGCCATGTTAACCCACTTCAAGCGGCGTCCAGTTCACCAAAGGAGCTCCGCCCACTCCTGGGCCCACCTGCCGCTCAGAGGCTTGGGGGACCGGGCCCAGGCTTCCAGCTGGGCGGCTCGCTTAGGGCACGCCAGGGAGTGGGGGTTCTGGTTCTGCCCGCGAGGTGCTGGGCGGCCGGTTCCTCCGAACAGGGTTGCAGACCACCTTAAGGGACGCGCGCCCTTAAAGCGGGGCGCCGCCCCTTCCTGACTGTTTGGCCTGGGCACCCCTTTGTTGAGGCGGCTCCGCGCCAGCCGCGTGGCGAGTTCTTCCCGGGACGCGTCCGCCCACCCACCCCACCCGGGCCCTCAGTCCCCGAGGCTCGCTCCAAACTCGTTCGGCTCGTTCTTCCAGGCCCAGCGCTGCGGAGAGCCGGGGCCGGGGCCACGAGACTGACCCCTGCTGCCAGCCCCGCGCCCCCGGGGTGGGCGATCGACCCCAAGGCGAGTGGCCAGTGCACCTGCCATCCCATGCTCGTAGGCCGAGGCCCCGGGCGCCCGCTACGCCCACCGGATGCGCACAGAGACCCCTGCGCCAGCCGTCGTCCCGCGGCCCCTGTCCGGTCCGTGGGTGGAGGGGCCCCGGCGTCGGGGGTGCCTGCAACTGCACACTGGTCAGTGAAACGCTCGCACCACCTCGGGAGGGTCTCGGGTGGGTCGCCCCCGCGTCCCTGGCACGCAGGGCCCTGCCCTGCCCTGTGCAGCCCCAGGGCTGGTGGGATGTCACTGTCCCCCGGCTCGAGGAGCGGTCTCGTAGCCACGGCACGCCGAGAACCGGGGTACGCTGTCTGAAATTCGGGGAGAGGGACGGGCCTCGGCGCGGAAGCCTGCAGTTTCGGGCGCGCCTTTCTCGGGAGCTGGTGGCCGGAGACAGCAGTCGGGCCGAGGGCGAGGTGCGGGTGGGGCTACTCTGTGCCGCCAGAAGCGTCCCCCAGACCCCTGGGCGCCCCCCTTCGGGTGGGAACCTGTTCGGTGATTAGAATGATGGGGGCCTTTCCAGCAAAGGTGGCCGACTTGGTGCATCGTTGGGGCGGATGCGCTAGGTCAACACCGAAGACAGGAGTCCTGTGCCGCCCACCCTCCCCTGGGTGCTGGCCTGCCCCCACCCCCTCTCCGGGCTCTCGGCCCCCGAGGCGGCACGGCCCGGGACCCCTTCGCGCTCACCAGCGGCGCCCCCACTTTCACCGGTCACCCCCTCCTCCAAGGACCCCGAGCGGGCACGCCCCTCTGTCGCTGTCACACTGGCTGTCTTCTCTTTGCGGGGACCCCCGCCTCTGCCCTGACCCTGCGACCGGAGGCCACC